GTGGATCTATTTCAACATGACGGCATTGCACCCGAGGACGGCGACCATGTTCGCATCGGCATCAAACAGATCCAGCTCGAACAAGACACCGCCAAGTCTCAGGAGTATCCTCCCTCCACTCAACTCCTCGATTTCAACCGAGTATCCCATCCTCTCATTGAGATAATCACCATGCCGCAGATCCACACCCCGGCCACTGCCGCGGCATGTGTTCGGAAGATTCAAGCCATCCTACAATCCTGCAGTGCTGTGACTACCGGTATGGAACTAGGAGGCCTGCGGGCGGACGTGAATGTCTCAATTCGCCGCCGGGACGAGGCTCCCGGCACCCATCAGTACGGGGGGATCGGTGGACTGGGTCAGCGCACCGAGATTAAGAACCTCAGCAGCTTCAAAGCGGTCGAAGACGCCGTCATAGCGGAGAAGAACCGTCAGATTGCTGTCCTCGAAAATGGAGGCGTCATAGAAGGCGAGACGCGAGGTTGGACTATCGGAAGCACCGAGACTCGGAAACTCAGAGGTAAAGAAGGCGAAGTGGACTATCGGTATATGCCGGACCCAGATCTGCCTCCGCTGATTATTGGCCACGATATTGTGTCCGGTCTGAGAGACTCGCTCCCGACGCCTCCGGACGAGTTGATCGAGATGCTGGCTGGCCCAGAGTATGGACTCTCGATCGAAGATGCAAAGCCATTGATTGAGCTGGACGACGGAGCGAGGTTGGAATACTACCAGGATGTGGTGGACATTCTGCGCAACCTGCAGCAGGACCAAGATCTCAAGACTCGTGCAGACCTTGCACGAGTGGCTGGCAACTGGGTGCTGCACGAGCTGGGAGGCCTCTGGGCCAAGACGTACTTGGCCTGGGATGCGCAACGAGTACCCGCTGAGACCCTTGCGCAAATCATCGATCAGCTGCAGCGAAAACGCATCACGGGGGCCACCGCCAAGCAGGTGCTCGTCATGGTCTTTGACGGGGACCGTCGACCTGTTCCTCAGCTCCTCGAGGAAGAGAATCTCCTCCTTCGTCCGCTATCCCGGGAGGAGTACATTGCTTTGGCGGAAGCAGCCATCAGTCAAAACCCGCAGATGGTCGAGCAGATCCGCGCCAAAAATCAGCTGGGTAAGCTAGGCTGGTTTGTCGGACAAATGATGCGCATGGGAGAAAAGGGCCGGGTTGAAGCTCAGAAAGCGGATGAGATTCTGAGAGAGCTCATCCTCAGAAAGTCGGATCAGCCGTAGCACCTCGCACTTCGATCCCTTCACAATGTGTAATTATATAGCATGTATTCTATAAATGATACCCCCCTGCCATAAGATACCATTCAGCTTCCGTGATAAGGACCGAGTTCTATCGATCACTCGAATCGGAAATCCTGCGGACTAACCACCGTCATCCTCCGGCCGTCGGACCAATATGACAACGTAGCATTCCCAAATATGATCATCGCGGGAGTTGTATTTAGATTCCCGTCTTTTGCTGATAAAGAAGCATGAATCCATACCATTGGTCATAGAAATATGAGGGTGGAGTGGGTTGAAGCCCCCAAGCGGGCATCTCTCCTGGACCTGTACTTAGGGGAAATCCATGATCCCTAAAAGCAGTTTTTAGCGATCACCTTCGTGTGCCACTTTTCGCCCTGTTTTCTCACGACAGCAAGGCCCCACGGCTGTCGTCGGAGGAATGAGACATAAATTGACTTGATTCTCTCATTTTGAAAGTCGCTTTTCACTCCCCTTTTCCATCTTCCAAGGTATCAATAGTGTTACACTCGAAGCATCGAAGCGACTTGCGGCCTGAGGCATCTCGGATCTGATCTCCACTGCGCGCAATCTTAATCTTATCGCTTTAGTCCTTCTAGAACGGCACTTTTTTTTTCCCTTATCAATTCTTGATCTATTGCTCTGCACCTCGGTCTTCATCCAAATTAAATCCTCTTCATTCACTCTCAAAATGACATCGCCGTCGACTATCAAGCAAAGATTCCTGACCAAGCCAAATGAGCTGGGAGTGGTGGCTGTCGGATTCAACGGTGGTCAGGTATGACGCTTACTTGCATATACATTGTCGCAACTCCCTCCACGGAAGAAGAAATTGAGCGAGGGCCTCAACTAACATTATCTGTATAGTGCAAACTAGGCGTTGAAGCAGCCCCGCTTGCCTTGATCGAAGCCGGTCTTCTGAATCAAGTCCGCGACGACCTGGGCTACGAAGTTCACTATGACGACACCGTGCACTACTACGAGAACCTGACTCCCTTGAGCGACCCGGACCACCGGGGCATGAAGAAGCCGCGCGCCGTGAGCGTCGTGACTGAGACGCTCAGCAAGCAGGTCTACGACCACGCCAAGGACGGCAAGTTCGTCCTCACCCTAGGCGGCGACCACTCGATCGCCATCGGCACCATCTCCGGCACGGCCAAGGCCATCCGTGAGCGACTGGGCCGCGAGATGGCGGTCATCTGGGTCGATGCGCATGCCGATCTCAACACGCCGGAGATGAGCCCCAGCGGGAACATCCACGGCATGCCCATGGCCTTCTTGACGCGGCTGGCCCAGGAGGACAAGAAGGATATCTTCGGGTGGTTGGAGGATGAGCACATCATCAACAAGAACAAGCTGGTGTATATCGGTCTGCGGGATGTGGACCGCGGCGAGAAGCAGCTGCTCCGGGAGCATGGTATCAAGGCATTCAGCATGCATGACATTGACAGGTGAGTTTTTCTTTCCCCCTCTTTCCGGTGTATAGACCATCTTGGGAAGTGTATCTGACCGTAGTAGACACGGAATCGGCCGCGTGGTCGAAATGGCTCTGGCTCACATCGGCAACGACACCCCCATCCATCTCTCGTTTGACGTTGATGCCTTGGACCCCCAATGGGCCCCTAGCACAGGCACCCCCGTCCGTGGAGGATTGACTCTGCGTGAGGGTGACTTCATCTGCGAGTGTGTTCATGAGACTGGCAACCTGGTCGCCATGGATCTGGTAGAGGTCAACCCCAGCCTGGAGGAGGTCGGTGCTTCAGAGACTATCCGAGCTGGTTGCTCTTTGGTGCGTTGTGCACTGGGAGACACACTCCTGTGATAGCATTTCGTCTTGTTTCATTTCCTCTCTTTCTTCTTCTTTTTTTTTTTTTCCACTTTTGGCAGGTTGATGGTTATGAACGGGTTAGACGAGTACATGTATTGGTTAGAATAGACATGACTGACCGCCGCCAGGCTAGAATGAATTGATGAAATGCAGCCAAATGAGTAGACCGCTAATCAAAAAATTCCCCTGGTAATATTATCGTCAGGTACACTTACTTCTTGAGTGAAGTCTGAAGTATTTATAACTCGATCTTGATGATGTATCGTATCTGTTGATCCCGTGTCAGCTCCCGAGCCAATGACGCTGGTTTTGCTAGATTTCCTGCCACCGCTATTTACATCGAAACTCCCTTTACCCACGAAAGGAGATACTTCCCTGCCACCCATTTTCGACGAGTTTTGCTCTTCTATCATTATGATCATAACTATGAACAGTCAATTAACCAAAGATCAAAGTACGGAGTATCAGCAGATTTCTTGTTGTTTCAGCTACTGTCATGCAGCAACTACCAGCTTACCTAACGCCCTGAACAACGCATAAACAGAGCAACCAACCAACCCAACAAGCATCCTCCCATACCAGAAGTCCTTCCTCCGTCCTCAAGCCCGATCATCCACGAGCGGGCCTCAACGTGGGATTGCGGCGCCGATGCGCTGTCTCCGTTCATCTCTCAGTGTCTCGCCAGGTCTGTCGCCAGTTGCCAGTCGCCAGTTGACACCCAACTATTTCCTCCACACCTCACAGAACGACGGGGTATTAAATCGTCGAAAACGCCCTACGGAGTGTATCGCAAAAACGAGATAGATAGATCCGATTCCTCCATGCCTCATCCCTAGGCCTCCTCGAACACCACCAACAATGGCCGTCCGCGTCTACCGCCGCCGCCGATACCGCTGGCCCGAACTCCAACTCAACATCTGGATCATCATCGTGCTCTCCGCCTCCGCAATCTGCCTCGGCATCTTCGCCTGGTTTATGGCCGTGCAGTCGCAGCTCCGCTTGGGGACTCCATGGTACCGCCCCCTTACCCCTGCCTACCCAGTAACTAATGACTAACGAGAAATATACACAGGCTCTTCCCCTACATGGTCGTAAGCGGCAGCCTAGGCGTCTTCTTCATCTTCCTGATTCTCTTGCTCGCGGCGCAGCGCTTCCTCCTCCCCGGGGTCATCATCATCGGGAGTTTCATCCTGTTCGTGCTGTGGCTGACGGGGTTGATCGAGACCTCGCTGCAGCTGTATGGGGTGGTGGGTAACGTGAACGACAACTGTCAGAACTACGTGGTGGATAATCCGTCCACGGGGAATAATATCAATACCTTGGCGTGGTTGACGCAGAGTACCATTTGTATGTCCCTGTGTCCCTGAGTTCCATGTTTTTCAGTAGTGCTTTTGGGCTGGAGAGCGGGAGAGGTGCTGATGACTGACGACCCGACCCCTAGGTAATTGCTGGAAGACTGCGTTTGCGTTTGAGCTGGTCAATACCATCTTCTTTCTCTGGATGATGGTCATGTCCTGGCAGGTTAATCGCGATGTATATGATTGATGGGCACGATGCGATGCTATATGATTGATATGATATGTGATATACCTACTGGCACTGCATGATGCATGGAAGGCGTTTTTATTTCCAGTTTTTGTTTGACTTTGACTCTGCACTTTGCATCTCCCTATGTTCATGTCATTCTGTTGTATCCTTACATGGCAAGACAGCTATCGTCCAATACACTTATGTAACTCTCAACACCGGCTCAATTTTCGCCCAGAATCAAACATCAAGTAGCCCAAACGCCGTCGCTATGCCCTGTCGCATCGCAACCGCAGATTAAATCAATTTAGACAAGCATCGAAGAGAATTGCCGTAATGTACAGACAGATTCCGCGTGCGTAGATCGGCAACTGGATCCCGTCTACCCATTCTCGGCTGCGATGTCTTCCTCAGCCTTGGCATCGTAGTCTCCATCCTCCAATGCAGCCAACATTTCCCGCTCCAGTTCATCGTCATCGTCCACCGGGTCTTCGGGATAACTGACATCTTGCCCTCGCGCCGCGGGCTCCTCTGGCTCGTTTAACGCTTCATCCGTATCGCCTCCACCGCGTTCCTTCGCCAGGCTGGTGTGGGCTAGTTCCGCCGTGCTCGTGCTATCTGCCGTGGCGACCTCTTTGAGCCCTGTACTACGCTCATAGGACCGTCTGATCCGCTGCGACAGGCGCGAGCCGGCCATCTCTCCCTCTTCGCCTTGACTACTGTCCGCCTCGTCTTCATCTGTGCCTTGAGAGTCGTCATCGCGCTTTCGCTTCTTGCCAGTCGTCCCTGCCTCATCCGCTAGGAGCGATACTTCGCTGTCACTTTCGCTCTCGTCATCGCTGCCCAGAAACTCCTTAAGCTCGTCGTGCACTGCAGCTTGCTCTTCAGCGTCGTACCCGATAGGAGACATCTCAGTGAGCCCGGAGGACTTCAGAATTTCCTCAGTGAATGGCGACGCCTCATCGTCATCCGTCCAGAATCCACCCGTTTCTCCGTCTGATGATGACAGCCAGCCGCTTTCAATCTCCTTTGACCCAGGTGAGATTGGTTCGCCCCGATCATCAGGATGCACAGGAAGCAGGTACGGTTCCTCCTGCAGTCGTTTCCATTGAGTTAGCGAATCCAAAAGCCACTGAGTGGTCACAATCTTGATTTTAGGATACCGCGTGGCCTCGCGGACCTTCGCCGTGCGATTCCGGCCAGCCACTAGATGCGTGGTTCTCATATTGATTTTGGTGGAAATGACCGCCCCAAAACTCTTAGCCCAGAGAGAAATGTCGGCGTTTTGTGTATCAGTTCCCAGCGGGAGTACCCCAGAGAAAACAAGGACGACCCCGCCAAGCACACGATGCTTGATCCGCGGCATGATGTCCTTCACATCCGGCACCAACTTCAGGTCGATATCCTTCTCCTTGGACGTTGCCCGCTCTCCTCTCAGAGCTGCCACTCTTCCGCCAAGCGCCCGCGACCGCTTCTTATCATACTCCTCGAAGAAATGCCTATGTATCTGCTCCAGTCGTTCCTCCAGTTGGAAGAGTTCCCGATCGTTATCCTCCAATAAATGATGTCGGTGTCTGGTCGAATCTTGAGTGTCTTCCATGCTCGAGGCAGAATCACTGCTTTCTGCCGCCTCATCCTCCGCATCCAGCTCTTTCTGCTTCTGCAACAATGGGCGGTCCTCAACCTGGTGCATAATTGTCTCCTCTTGCGCGACGCTCTGCTCTTGCAGTAATCTTGGGTTGTCCCCACCGCCCATGGTCACTAGTTGCTCCAGCGTCGAAACCTCAGCTGCAGGCTTGGCAACTGCACCATTCGCAGGATGTTGTTGTACCGGTAACTCCTTCGTTCCTTTGACTGCCTGTTCCGCGGGTTTGGTGGCTCCCCCTAACTCCTGCTTCTTCGGAAGGAAACTGGAGTTGATATCTCCAATCCCAACAAAGAAATCGTAGGGAGAAACCTTGATCAGATTAGGGCTCCATCGCCAGACGTCGCCACGGTCGTCAATGATGACCACCATCTTTGTATCTACCGGAAATAATCGCTGGAGATTCTTAGCCGTCAGGCTCCCGCTCTCGTCGCGGCTGAGGATGCGATCACCGAAGAGCTTACGGTCCGGATCTATGATGCCAGCTATATGTTGCGCGTAGGCTCTAGTACCCATGGTGTAAATGTGCAACTCGAAAAGCTCTGAGACATTCTGCAGGAACGACTCGAGCCCAGGTCGCAGCTTGACGTAGTACCAGCAACCGCGCATGCCCGGGCCGTCATCAACTAATTGAAAAGCTCGCACGTCGCTCAGAGCTTCGTGATTGGGATTGTCCTTGTCTTCCATCCATTCTCCGACAGTAGGATCAACTGTGGCATGGATGATGGTCTGATCCAAATCCACGACCAGAGAGAGCTTCTTGGTCGCCAACAAGCGACGCTTCGCATCTTCCTCCACACGCGTGGCTTCCTTTTCGCTCACGGTAAGGGCAGTGTTATCATGAACCATCTGAATCGGGGCGCGCATGGAGTCCATGACCTCGGTATTGTATGAGGCCCTGTCGTGAAGGTGAACCAAAGAAGTCAGTTTTCGTTATCTCGGCAGTATCCTATACAATTAAGCACAATAGCACTCACTCGGTCATATCCTTTCCACACTCGGCACAAAGGCCTCCAAATTGAACTTCGTGGGCGCATGGTTCGTCAATCTCCACAACATCGATACTACAGTGGATATCAGCACCAGGTCTCGCAGACACGCATCCTCTTCCCATATAGAGGGTGCCAAATATGAATGAAGATCGAACGCAAAGTGGGACTTACGGTACTTCAATAACATCTCCCTTGGCTATTTTCCACTGAACCACTTCACCATCAACGGTCGACTCGAACTTCGTGGGAAACTTGCGCTGAACCTCGACCTTGTTGCCCAGCCCATCACCCTCGGTAACGGTTGTCTGGTAAACATACCAGAACAAGGCCTCGTCCCTCTCAACCGTGTCGCCCGGCTGTTTGAGCAGCGACGTGACGGTGATCGGGTAATGGAGGCTGGGCGGTAACCGAAGAAGCATGCTCTTGTGTCGGACAGGCGGGGTTGCCTCTCGCTATTCTTTTATCCAACCCCGGTAGACCCTTACCTTCTATAATATAGCTATTATGAGAAGGAAGGACGATGCCGAGGGGCGATTCCGATCGCGAGCGAAACTAGTATGCCTGACCGCTACGGATCCATACCCGAAGCGCTCAGCGAAAGAGAGGAAATTCAGACGACGGTATGTGTATAGAAGTGGTAACAGTAGAGAATGTTGTTTACAAGACGTATGTCGCAGGATGCGACTCAAAGAAAACCCGATCCGAGCGACGTAGAGGAGGGAAGCAATGTAGCTCGGGCGATTGCCACGAGATGACGCGACGCAAAAGCAATACAGAAACAGGCTCGGTCCAACTTTGGACTTGGAATTGATGGCGCAAAAAAAGTGAGTCTTATATTCGAAGTGATAAAGCTAGTTTCCTGTCAAAGTGAGGGTAAACGACAAAAAGATGGGATGAAAGAACGGAGCGTTGGTGATAGATGAAAGAAACGGTCGCCGTTGTTGTTGCAGGCAGAAAGAGAGGCCGGAAAGCCAAGGCAACAAAACTAGGCTCACCCAAGTTCGTCAACGAGTCGTGTGGCCGAGCGGGGGCGGCAAATGCCTGTTTGGGTCTAGCTTACATAGCTTCTGGCCCAGACCGTATGAGAATGAGACGAGATCAAGAGAGCATGAATTGTGATGCTAAAGAGGAACCCGGATCATACATAATCACACATATCGATCCTGCTCAAGAAATGTATCTGTTCCTCGAATTCGCCGCTCTCAGTTAATGGTATACCTATCACCAGGCGGTCGCATTGTCACCCCTGCCTACCAGCGTATGCTTTGTTCACAGTGCAGCTAGTACTTCTTCGTTGATACGGCAAAATCCGGGCATAGCATCAACGATAGGATCCAATGGATAAGCAACAAAACCAAAAGTTGGACTAAAAATCAGGCATCGATTACAAATATGAGAATCTCCATTAAGCAAAACAAAGAATCGCAGGTATCTGCAAGAAGGACACGATCTGTTCATGTTCCTGCAGCGAATCCCAAGGATGTAAAGACTTGAAAACAGACTAAGCTACCGCAATGAAGCTATATACGTATCGTCATTCTGTCACAGTTGGTATAGCGCAGCGGCTGCAAACAAACACGACCTTACATTACTTGGCCTTTGCCAGACCCACAGCGCTGTTGCCAAGATCGTAGACGCTGTACCACTTCCGCAGGAAAGCGTCTCCCAGGATAGCAAGGGGACCAACTGGCTCGGGGAAGTCCATGCCCATAAAGGAGCTGATGCAGGAGCCCTGGACCTCCAGCGTGTAGTCATAGGGGCCAATGGTGAAGTTGTGACCGGCCAAGGTGAAGGTGAGATCGGGCAGGGAGTCACGCTTGTCGCATTCAATAGAATATTGACCAGTGAAGCCCTTCTTGGCACCAATCTCCTTGTTGCTAGAGAAGAAGTCAGCACAAGCAAGATTCCAATGATGAAAAACAAACTTTGACAACTTACAGCAGGTCAGCAAGAGTGGATGGCAGGGCAATAAGAGAAGTGCCGGTGTCGAGAATGACACCGGTGTTCTCAAGCTCAGCAACATTGTCACCAAGAGCAATAGCATCGAAATCAACTTCCCAGTACGCCTTTCGGCGGAGGGGAATCTTGATCATTTCACCGGTGTAGTGGTCCTTGTCAACACCACCGAAGGTGGCCTCGGAGTTGTCGCCTTCCTTGTTTGTATCTCCCAGGTAGAAGGCGAAGACGGGCTCATCCAGAAGTCCCTGGTTCAGCATGTTGTAGAAAGGAGGAACGATCTTGTTGACGGAGATGGTGTCGTAGCCCAATCCGAGAATACCGTCAAACCGGCCAAAGGCAAAGGCAAGACCGGGCTCGTTGGTAGCCTCAGCAAAGTCCTGCTTCTCAACCTTCAAATCACCAATGCTGAGTGTGTCCTGAGACACGAATCCGCTGAGCTCGCCGGATCCGTACTTGATGGAAAACTCGGAACCGTTCTTCTTGTAGGTGGACGAGGCAGACGAGTCGTACTTGCTGTGCAGGAAGCAGGCGATGGAGTTACAGTCTGAACCAGGAACCCACAGGTTCGAGCTACCAGTGTCAAGGACAACCTTGAACTTCTGGGGGGGAGTGCCAAGCGAAATTTCGGAGAAGTCTACCAGACGAGTGTTAGTAATTCTACGGGAAAATTGCTGCTGCTCAGTTCTGATGCCTTACATTGTGCATTCAGAAAGTTATCAACCAACACATCGTGGCGGCTCATATCATTGAGCGAGTTCTCCTCCAGGAGCTCCTGGTGGACATTGGGACGGATACCCATGTATTTCTGACCCAGGGCGCGCACATGAGCGTCAATGTTATGGGTGTACTGCAGCTTTTCATTAGCCCTCATCAATTTCCCAGCGTCTCGCTTCAAAACCATGACATAACGGATGGGCTTTCATGGTCACTTACAAGCTGTTCGTCGAGAGGAACCTTGTTAAGCTTCAGCTTGTGGACCTCGGCGGAGGCGTAGCCCAACAGCACAGAGGCTGTGAGCAAGGAGGTGGACTTCATGACGGGTGAAGTGGGGGAAAACAATGATCTAGCAGAAGAGAATGGACTGAAAACACAGAAGGAACGTATAACCTTTGATGATGGAGACGATGAAGAGAGAAGAGAGAGATGGTTAAGAGACGAAGAGGTAGGCAGATAGTTAGGTAGAACGGGAGCTGACGCCTGGGAAATGGAGGTGATGCGGATGACTGGTTGCGGAGCGACTCCCCTGCTTTGGATCGGCAAATCAGCGTGATCCAACTGCGTCACTGGGGCTGGGGAGGGGATCATCACGGGAGTCGGATCAATTGATAAGCACTTCCGGCTTGGTTGCTATGTACGTACGTACGGAGTACTCTGTACGACGGCAAGGTATGGCACCTGATGGACTGGTACAACCCATCCTACTATCTCTATTGAACTTACCACTCTTATGGTGAATTAGTATTCAAGTATCTCCCAATAGATGTCATATATCTACCATTGCGATGTCTGCGAGATGGCTAGTACTGTGCTTGGTACCGTAACTTGCTGATGATGTAACTGCAGTTCTTAGTGCTGGTGCCTACTTACCAGTAAGGTAAGCCAATCTTGGCGTCAGCGATGGTACAATCTGGTTTTGTCTACGGAGTAGGTAGATATAATCAGTAAAGTATTCTGTAATCTCTGCCCACGACATTTCTTCCCTTTCCTTTAGGTGTACCAGTCACTTTGCGTTGTAAGGACGGCATGCCCGATAATATCCTGGTTTTGGACAGACAAGGACAAAACACGAAGGTGGAACGGCGGACGTCTCTGCGGAACCGGGGTCTGAGTCGAGAGTTCAGATTAGCGACGTCCAGGCGGTGCTTGCCTTTTGCCCTAGTAAAGGCGCTCGCGTGTACTACTACTGGCAAAACGATTGAAATCCTGGAGAATACTGTTTCTCCAAAATGCATCATGCGCTGTACTACATGTAGATTCCCTAATGTTGATGATTCAATCCATTATTATCCTTTCGCCATGCACAGGTCCCATTTCCACCTCATAATCATCGGGGTACATAGTCTACCGGTAGAATTCGAGCCTGTAACGCAATAATTAGAACTGGTGGTGAGACAGATTTGAATGCAGGGAAGAGCAAACCTGTCCGCTTCCTGGCCGGTCTTGACCTGAGCAGCATAGGCATCCTCGAGGTCAGACTGAATGATATTGTAACGGTTCTTGCGAACAGCACGTAGTCCGGCTTCCTGCATGATGGCGGCAATAACAGCACCAGAGAGTGGCTCGTTTCGTACGATGAGTGAATCCAGATCGACCTCTGGGGACAGAGACATCTTTGATGCGATAGTGGTGAAAATCAGTCGACGCTCCCGTCGGTCACGCAGCGACGGAAACTCAATCTTACGATCCAGACGACCTGGACGCAAGAGGGCCGGATCCAGAGTATCCGCGCGGTTGGTGGCCATGATGACCTTCACATTGCTTGTCTGCTCGAAACCGTCCATCTGATTGAGAAGCTCAAGTAGAATACGCTGGACTTCACGATCGGCACCAGTCTGGGCGTCAAAACGTTTGGTGGCAATTGCATCGATTTCGTCAATGAAGATAATGGCAGGTGAGTTCTCACGGGCCATTCTGAACACGTCACGAACCATACGAGGACCTTCTCCCAAGTATTTCTGGACAAATTCCGAGCCGTTCACACGAATGAAGCTGGCAGTTGTGCTGTTTGCAACAGCCTTGACCAACATCGTCTTACCAGTACCGGGAGGGCCGTACAGTAGGACACCACGAGGCGGATCAATACCTTGAGTAGCGTAAGCAAACCGGCACTAGACATCGCTCTCCATGTCTCCGACTCACCAATCTGTTTGTAAAGGTCGAAATGTGTCAATGGCAGCTCGACAGCCTCCCTAATCTCCTGCTTCTGCATATCCAATCCACCAACGTCAGCGTAAGTGACATCAGGCTTTTCGTTCTCGCCGAGCATGGCAATGGAGGAGTCTGCCTCCGGAGGCAGAATATCGACAAGGGCATTGGAATGACGGTGCAGGGCGACGGAGGAGGATGGCTTGAGCTTCTCGCGGTCGAGTGTGGAAAGGATGCGAACGACATAATTCGAGCCAGTTGACGACTGCACGATACCGGTGCTAAGGAATTCAGTCAGTATATCTCCCTTCATCATTCCTCTTGGTGCCATACTTCTGATCGATAGCTTCCATGAATTGTCCGATAACAAGTGGCACGCTCTGTATCCGTTTGATCTCCTCCTGTGCGCGGACGAGCTCTCGTTTCAAACTCCTGCAATCGGACGGACCATTAGCTACCCCAGATGTTGATAATAATATGAAGGATAGATTGCGACTTACCTTTGTTCATCCTTAATGTACTCTTCTTGGAGCTGGATGTATCTGTTTTGGGTTATTACCTGACGATAACGACTCTGAGGCTCTCGGGTTGTAGG